GTTTTAGCGTAGGCACATAAGCTTTTTTTTTTTTTTTTGGTAGATTTTATATAGTGCCTTTTTCTCCAATTTTAATTTCAACCTTCAGTTGTCTTTATATTTAAGTTGTGTCTCATATAAGAAGCATGTTGTTCAGTATTTTATCCAGTCTAACAATCTTTATCTTTTAATTAGAATAATCTGTTTACATTCAATGGTATCAACGATAGATTAGCTTTGATAAATTATTTTAGATTAGCTCTATCATCTTAATATTTATTTCCTATTTCACTTATCTGTTGTGTAGTTACACTTAATTTTTAAACATCAAACCATAGCATAGCATTGTGGAGAAAAGCATTGGCAGCGGAGTCAGGCTGTGTGGGAGCATTTCCTAGTTTATTACTTACTAGACATGTTTATAAACCTCTGTAAGCTTCATTTTCTTAACTGTAAAATAGAATGATAATAGCAATTATTATAACTATCTGATGGGTTGCTGTTAGAATTGATTTTGAAAAATCACAGATAAAAAAGCTTAATCGTAATGTTTATATAATATGCTTCATCTTAATTTTACCTATTTTATTAAATAATAAACATAATATCTAAAGCTAATACATTTCTATATCTACCTTGACAAAAAAAAAAAGTAGCAGCTGTATCTACTACCCCCCGCCACCTTCCTGTACCAATGTTTTCTGATAATTTAGATTAATATTTGTATTTATTTTTGACAAGGCCAAAGTTCATTAGCTCTTAAAAATGTTACCACATTTTCGTGCCTGACTTTTTCTTTCCTCTTGGATTCTGCGGCATGTGCTGTCAAGGCCCTGCCCCCTACTCCCTTGGCCCACTTGGTCAGCAGCAACCACAAAAGATATTTTTCCTGGCACTTTCTGCATCAGGAGCCTGGATCTGTCTTCTCCGCCCAAGAGGTTTCTCAAGCACCAGGAGAGCTTTGCTGAGCTGCCAGGAGGAGCACGCGGAAGTGCAGGGAGTGACAATCAGAGGATAAATGGCCCAGCACCCCGTCCTCTGCTGGCATGATTCCGAGGCATTTGTCTCACAATCATTGAGAATCCCTAGTGAGCTTGCCCACTTTCCCACAATGCTAATCCATTCATTAATGCATTCTTTTTAGGTTTTCCTCCACCCTTGCCTTACTTTCCCAATTTCCTTTCTTGTGTTTTCTTGGATCACCTTCCACGTAAATACTTGCATTCGAGTCCTCAGATGCACTTTCTGCACCCTTTGAAATTAAATTATTTGTGTTTTACAGTATGGTGATTTTCAACAGTTTATTTTTACATGTTAATCAATCTTGCATTATGAAAATAAACTTAATATTGTTGTAAGATACCATTAGATAGGTGGATGGAGAGAGAGAGAGAGAAATTGATTCAGCGTGTTAACATGGTATCCTATAATTTTCATTTCTCATAATGTCTGTATTAGGTTTGGGCATCAAAGTTATAAAATGGGGTAGGGAGTATATCATCTTTTTCTCTTCTCTTGAAGACTTTGTGGGAGATTTTTATTTCTTCCATTTTAAATGTTTAGAAGAATTCCTCATAAAAGTCATCTGGACCTGTAGCTTTCTTTATGGGATGCTTTTTTACTTTTTATTCAATAACTTGAATAGATAGACCTGTTCAGATTTTATATTTCTTTATGAATTAGTTTTGGCAAGTTGCGTCTTCTAGAATTAGTATATTTTACTTAAGTCGTCAGATTTATTGTCAAAGTAGTTCATAATATCTTTATGTGAACTCTGTAATGTCTGGGGAATATTTTCTCTCTTCTAGTCTTTTTAAATTTCAGTGTCATAGCAGTAGTATTTTGGACATGAGAAGAGGCAAGCTGCTTACTGTATCCTACTTAACCATTAATCCAATTATTTTTTAAATATTTAGTCTGAATTTTAGCGGGAAAAAAATGGACAATTTTCTCAAAGAGATTACCTTTCACAAAGGACATAAAATCAACTCATGGCTTCTGAAGTGAAAATTTCTGAAGCTCTTCTCTATGCTTGTTTTCCCCCATCTTGCAGTGGAGATAGTCATACACAAGCTTTTTTTTAAGCCAGAATTTAAATCGTGGCTTAATTATCTTTCTGTTTCCCTCACCAAACCTCCCCTCCTTGTATCCAGGTCGAACTCCCTTTCTACCAGGAAAAAAACACCCTATTTTACCTGGAACTGTACAGCTTGACCAACCCTAATCCAGCCTTTTATTATTTAAGTGGGGACAAAAATCACATCTCAGAGTTACAGTAAAGATGATAAATGATGCATCAAAACTATTTGATTCATAGTTATCAATATATGGTAGCTATTGTTACTGCTTTCCACGCTTGATCCCTCTGCGTGCACTAGAATGTAAATCTATTATGATATAGGCAGTGTTTTATTTACCTATGTAGCTCTCTCATTGTGGTCAGTAACTGGCACAAAATAGATACAAAATAGATATTTTTTGAGAGTCTGAACTGAAGTCCTGATCTTCCGATAAAAAATCTTGTCCTTTATATTCCTGGAACCAAAGTTTCCCAATTTAATAGAGGTAAAAGATTATTGTCTGTGTTGTACAAGAGGGTGTAGTCAAGTGATAAGGCACGGATGTATCACCAGCATCCACAAGTGCATATTAGATAATAATTTTTTTTTATCACATATTAGATAATAATTTCTAGCACATATTAGATAATAATTTTTTTTAGTTGATTGCATATTGATAGGACAGAGAAGAAAATTCCCCTACAGAATTGTAGCTATTTTCAAATATATGCTCACTAGCATTATGCCTGGCCTATAAGATTGTTCAATGTTTTAACAATAATTACTTTTTTATTTTATGAAGAGCTCATCTAAATCAATAATTAAAGATGAACAGGCTAAAAGATGAACAGGAAAGAAAAATAGAAAATTTACAAAATGTATATCTAAATATTCAACATAACTAGTATTTCAAAACTATAAACTCACAGAAGAAGAAATTCTACCCATGTTCAAATAAACTCAAATAGGTAAAGAAATAGCTTAATGATTTTATGTAGAATTGGCGAGGGTGCAGGGAATAAGGTACCCTTATAAAGTGTTGATGGCACGGAATTTCTGGGAAGGACAGTTGGAAAGTGCCTATAGAAATCTTTAAAATTAAACAATATTCTTTGACCTAGCATCTTCTTTCTTAGGAAATTATTGCAAAGAAGTTATCAGGCAAATGTATGGCGATATAGATTCAAAAATTTATTACTTATAGAAATAAAAAGTAGAAACAAAGTAGGTATTTTTCAGGAGAAGATGTTACAGAGAAAATTCACTGGATAACGTTGTCAACAAGTGAAGGAAACACTCATTATATCTTAATTACTAATGAATAGTAGTAATGACTTCTCTCCCAAACACTCAAAAACCAATGGATAAAAAAGAGTAATTATTGTGACCACTAGGTGGCGATATGGCTCTTCTTCCCAAATGGAGCACTTCACCGTTTGTTAGCACTCGGGAAGTTCACAACTTTCTTAGCAAATGGAGATTTGTATTATCAGAGTCCTGGAATCAAAACTGAGAGTTGTAAGGGAACTCAGAACCCACCCTGTTCTGACCCCTCACATCCTTTCCGTACCTGACTTGCGGGAATCCCCTTTGCAGCATCAAGCACTGTGGTTAACCCCGGCGCGTTAGAGACGCCTCCTACCGAAGCGGCCTACGGAGATGTTGGAAGACTCTGTACTTGAAAGTTCTTTAAACAAAATGTGCCCCGAGTGACCCTTGTCAGCTCCTCTGCCCAGCATAGAGCATGTCTGCTCTCCTCTCCAGAACTTACTTTAATTAAAATTAAATTTAATTAAAATCAATTAAGTAAGGCCTGAATGTATTGTTAGCCAAAAAATGAGTGTGTATTAGTCCAAACTGTTGCTTTTGTTCTCAGTGGCTCCCAACCTGGGGTCCTTTCCTGTGTATATTCAGATTCAGGGAAGACAGAAGAAACTAGTCCCTCAGGCAGCCCCCCAAAAATCAGAACGTTGCGTGTACAGTCCAATCCTCTTCCTTCTTCCCCAGGGAGAAGGTGGGAGCTGTGAGTATCTTTCTGATCATGTGCTGCTCTGCTGGGAGGAGGGATTATGGCAAGTTGGTGCCACGGATGTTCCTACCCGTTCCAGAGCAGCTGGGTTTGCCCTTGCACTGGGTACAGGAGCCTCTCAACTGAGCTTTGGATTTCTCACAGGTGGAATTGATTTGTGTATTGTTGAATTGGTGTGTGCATTGGGGGGATCTTTTAGCGCATACCCTGCTTATAAAAAAAAAGTTTGCTGTAAAATAGGATGCCATGTTACGCTGGCAGCAGCCTCATACGTCTCATGTTTACCCTTGACCATTTTTTCTGATACCCTCTTCGAACTCCTGCCTCTATTCTGCAGTCCTATTTCTGGAACGTGTTGTCTGTTCCCACTGTTCTCCAATTCCTGAGTGCCCGCTGATTCCTTAACTCTCGAAGTGTGATTGCACTCCTCTCGCATTAGCTCTTATCACATGACATTCTCAGTCTCCTTGCTTTGCTTTTTTCTATTTTCCTCTTCTGTGTTCTCCAATTTCTGCATTTAACACCTCACTCCTCTTAGTCTGTATACCTTGCCTGGGGTGATCCCGTCCACTGGTGTGTCATATCTACCATATGCAGATAACCCCCAAAACATAACTCCAGCCACAAAGTTCCCGTGAACAGACCCAGGTTTCCAACTGCATCCCGATTAAGTGTCCACTTGAATATCGTGAGCACTTCAAACTCAACATGTCCAATGCTGATCTTCCAAAATCTGTTCTCCCTCCTGCATGCTATGTGTAAACTGAACAACTATTCACCCACTTGCCAAAGCTAGCACCGTGGAAGT